CTCCACGACACTGTAGTAGCCCGTGCCTCTAAAGTAAATAACTTACTATGGACAGTCACCTGGGGTGTAATGAATATGATGTGTTAAAGAGTTAAGAAGCACTACCTTAGACTTACCTACCCCACTGCTTCACGTCTTATACTTATTCTATGATTATCTGCTATAACCCTTCTACACCCTCTGACTATGCAGTGACCGTTTATGACATGTTTTTCAGTTTTTTTTCTAAATAAATGTATTTAGTCAGTAATTGTACACCTGACAATATGCTAATGTCTGAGTATAATATACTTTACCGTGTGTATTTAAAACAACACTATAGCACTTCAGGTATGTTAATCTTGCAATGTAAAGATTGACGTTCCTGCAAAACGACAATGTTTACACTTGCAGTGTTAAAACGACAGGAACATGGCATCTCAGTGAAGTAGTCTGATGTCTCTTTAGTGTTCCTTTAAACCCTGTTTAACCCCTTCACAACCTCGGATGTACCAGGTACGTCCAACAAAAAACGGTCGTAAAGGACCACGGACGTACCTGGTATGTCCGATCCCAAATCTGCACTTATCGAGTTGGCTTATCCAGGACTTTTTATACTTTAGTATTTTATTTGTTATTTGTCTATGTTGTATTAAAATGTTATCATTTTTCAATAGTCCTCTGGAGCCTACTGAATTTACTTAGGGGTAGTGCCATTCCCACAAATAGTGGCACATAGCTACTACTCCTCAGAGCCAGGATACAGGGCACTGAAAAAGGTGAGCACTTTGCTTATTCTCACCACTGCACCAATTGAGAGAGACTGCACATTTGTTCCCTTCTCTCTATGTTATATCTTTGAGATCCAGCATATCGTGGAGTGCAGGTGTGATACTGCCTTAAAAGCATATAAACCTAAATACGGAGCCAGTGTTCACATACATACTTTGAATGTGAGTGTTCCATTTCACAACCATTTTATCTAATTTTATCTCTATGTACCATCTGCACTATATTGCTTTTTTTATTCATTTCACATTTGCTGCACACTAGGATTGCTATCAAGTTATTTGGGGTAAGTGTACCCCGTTATTTTTCTCAGCGCTCCACTTATAGGTGTAGCTTTTGCACTTCTACCGCTCTAGAGATTTTGGACTAGTTTAAGTGTGGATAGGAGGGTATTTCCACACAAGTGTTTTTGAACTGCTATAATTTATTCTTGATCTTTAGCACTTTATTGGACACACATTCCTACCTAACAGGAGGTACATCACAGTTGATGCAAAAAAAAAATAAACAAACCATAAATCTTCAGTCATTAGGCTAACCATTTTAGGATTTATTTCCAAGCACAATCCAAGCACAATCTGAGAAGCATGGGCAGCAAAGCCTTCATTCTCAAAGACTAAGCCTTATATTTGAACTACATAGGCTGGATTTATAGACTGAGATGTGTTAAAAAAAGTTTATTTATTGTAGTAATACTCCTAAAGGCATAACGGGGCAAGTTCAAGTTGAAAGTGATAGATGATGGTCAAACAGAGCTTTATAAAAGCCATAATATTGTCTTTAATGAGTTCTTGAACTGCCCTGGACATTTATTTTCACCATCTGCAATGATCTACTCTGACCACGACTTCCCATTTATAATAATTAAACTGATATTTCCTGCCAGCACTAAAATGCCAATCTGGTAGCCTGAAGGTGCTTCCTGAATCCAAAGTCTGCAGATGTGGATCAGGGAGGGGGCGACGTATTTAGCTTTTCTTTTGTGATGATGATTGAGGGCTTGGGAGCTCTGCAAGACTCCTCAGTAGGAGAAACTCAAAAACAATAAAGTGAGAAAATAAACATATCCTGCTGCAATCTCTTGTTATGGTGGCTAAAGTTTCCTTTTCAGTAATCTCAATACGTGTTGAAAGAATATAATGAGTTACATTAGATAATAACAACATCTGCTACTGGACCGATGCCTACAACTACCCTGGTTAACTGAAATGTATTATGTATTGTTTTTGTACGCTTCTTGTTTTATACATGTATTATCATACATTTCACAATATATATAAAATATACTTACTAAAATATATAAAATAAACTTACTAAATAGGCATAGAAGAAAATACATTTAGTAAGTTTAACAGGAAGGCTTTCTCTACTTTACTTTATCTATCCTACTTTTGATTATTAGCGCTGATCTTTTAGACCATGGGTCCTCAAACCTCGGCCCCCCAGATGTTGCTAACAACTCCCATGGTTCTCTGGCTATCGATGTAATTCAAAGAATCATGGGAGTTGTAGTTCAGCAACATCTGGGGGGCCGGAGTTTGAGGACCCATGCTTTAGACAGTAACTTTTCTCCCTTTAACATTTTTACAGGTTCTAAGGAATTAAGGGGAGATCTACTAACACCCTAAGCATTAAAAGGCCAGGACTCATTAAGCCTATATGTATATTGCAGACTTAGGTGTTTAGCACTTCATCTCCTCACTTACTTAGGCATGGGAGTTTGTTATGATTTATGATTTACATTTTTTCTTCTATGCCTATCTAGTAAGTCCCACAAGGAGAGAGGCTTTCTTTATTTTATTTTACTTTATCCGTCTGTCTACTTTTGATTATTAGGGCTGCCAATCTTTTAGACAGTGACCTTTCTTCCGTTGGCACTTTTTCTGGTGCTTAGGTACTAAGTGGAGATTTACTAAAACCCTGTGTATAAAAGGGATACTATAGTCACCTGAACAACTTTAGCTTAATGAAGCAGTTTTGGTGTATACAGGGCCGGCGCTACCATTAAGGCGAATTAGGCATTCGCCTGGGGCGCCGACCTGAAGGGGGCGCCCACCTGGAGGTTTCTGGGTGGGCTGCTCCTGTGGGTGGGCAGCGGGCTTCTCTTGCCTGGGGTCGGAGCGCTGGGTAAGTGGCTGTTTAGCCAAACCCCAGCGCAGCCATATCCTGTGCTCCCTCTGCCTCCCTGATGCTGCAGAGCCGATCATCTGCTCAGGGAGAGGGGGTCTGTTGAATCCCCAGCACCCGAGCAGAGCACTGTGCTTCCTGCAGGCAGGGGAAGCTGGGATGTGACCTGGTATCCCGGCTGCCCCCTGCCTGTGATAAAAGGAAGCACAGTGAAGGGAGCAGGAAGCAGCCTGTGCTCATTGTGCACTGCTCTCCTGCCCCCCCAGGAACCAGGGCAGATACCTGCAGGCTGAAAGATGGTCCCCTTCTCCTCCAGTCACATCACTAGCACAGGTATGGCATCACTGGAGGATAAGGGGAGCTGGTTATTATTGTGTGTATGTTTGAACATTGGTGTGTTAAGTTTGTTTGTGGGTGTGTGTTTTAATAAACTGACTATATGTAAACTGGTGTGAGTGACATTGTGTGTGTGTGTGTATTTCAGTGAGAGTGTGTGTGTGTTAGTGAGAATGTGACATAGTGTTTGTGTGTATGTGTGTGTTTGTCAGTAAGAGTGTGTGTGTGTGTGTGTGTGTGTGTGAGATGGTGTAAGTGACGTGTGTGTGTGTGTGTGTGTCAGTGAGTGTGTGACCAGTTATATTTCTAATACATTAATATAATTATATATATTATATTTAAAAAAAACATTTTACTTACAGTGTGCCTTTCAGACAAGTTCCCTGTCGCACACATTAAATACCACCATTATCATAAACTAAATGCACAATAGTATAAGTTAAATCCCACCAAATGAATTGAATAAATTTGTTATAACAACTATAAATGTATACAATGTAAAATGTATATGTATTAGGCAGTATGTGCACATGGATGTGTGTGTTGGGCAGTATGTGCACATGGATGTATGTGTCGGGCAGTATGTACGTATGGATGTATGTGTTAGGCAGTATTTGCATATGGATGAATGTATTAGGCAGTGTGTGTATAATGGCCAGTGTGTGTGTATGGATGTATGTATGTATTGGCAGTCTGTGTGTGTGTGTATGGATGGATGTATTGGCAGGGTGTGTGTGTATTTATGTATTGGCAGTGTGTGTGTATGGATGTATGTATGCATGTATTGGCAGTGTGTGTGTGTTCATATTGGACAGTTTCTTTTTTCCCCCCTAAATGTCTGCTCACTGTGTCTCTCCTAAAATGTCTCCTAGTCTGTATAAGTTTCCTAAAAACCTTAACAATCTCTCTATCCCTTTCCTAATTGCCTTCCCGGTCTGTGTTCCCTTCCCTAAATTGAGCACTGGTCTCTCTGCTTTCCCTTAGACACTTAGGTGTCTATTCACTAAACAGTGATTTGAAAAAGTTGAGATGACTTTATACAACTCTTCTGTTTTGGAATAAATGTTTCAAGTTATATTTCAACTCACTGTTTAATGAATAGACAGGGAAAAGAAAAGAAGAGAAATTGACAGAAGATAATTACCGGATTATTCACTAAAGTGAGAATTGTAAGTGTAAGGGCAGAGTAGCCGAATCTGGAGAATGTTAACGGGTGTTTTGACCATAAATTAGAAATTCACTTTGAATTCCCAACAATTCTCACTTTATTGAATAACCCTATTGGAATAAAGAGAAACAGGCTGGAGAGAATCAGTGAGCAGATAAATCGTGAACATAGAGACTGCAAGCTTTTGGAAACAGAAACAAAGGAGAAAGCTGTGGATAAACGCTAATGAGAGAGTTTGGGCACTATGGAGGAAAGGGACAGCTGATCAGACCTAATTAAAAACCAAATGGCAAAATTTATACCATTTAGAAGAATTTGCCAACTCCGCTACAGTCACAGTTCAGCTGTTTTTGCTTAAACTATGCAATTCGATTTCCAATTCACTGAATTCATAGTTTAGTGAATAAACTTCTGAGAGAGTGTAGTTGCATTCAAGAGGGGGCGGCAAAATGGATCTTTGCCTAGGGTGGCAAGAATCCTTGCACCGGCCCTGGGTGTATAGAACAAGCCCCTGCAGCCTCACTGCTCAATCCTCTGCCATTTAGGAGTTAAATCCCTTTGTTTATGAACCCTAGTCACACCTCCCTGCATGTGACTTGCACAGCCTTCCATAAACACTTCCTGTAAAGAGAGCCCTATTTAGACTTTCTTTATTTCAAGTTCTGTTTAATTTAGATTTTCTTATCCCCTGCTATGTTAATAGCTTGCTAGACCCTGCAAGAGCCTCCTGTATGTGATTAAAGTTCAATTTAGAGATTGAGATACAATTATTTAAGGTAAATTACATCTGTTTGAAAGTGAAACCAGTTTTTTTTTTCCATGCAGGCTCTGTCAGCCATAGCCAGGGAAGGTGTGGCTAGGGCTGCATAAACAGAAACAAAGTGATTTAACTCCTAAATGACAGAGAATTGAGCAGTGAAATTGCAGGGGAATGATCTAAACACTAAAACTGCTTTATTTAGCTAAAGTAATTTAGGTGACTATAGTGTTCCTTTAAAGGGCCAGGACTAATAAAGCTTATATGAATATTGCAGACTTAGGTGTTTAGTAACGTTATCTCCTCACTTACTTAGGCATGGGAGTAGCCTTATAAGGCTGGTTCGGTATTTATTATTATTTGGAGTTAGTTTATTTTTGTGTTGATACTTTCTGTTACTTCAGATATTTAGTGGTCTCCCTCTGGTTACATTGTTCCATACGGCTGGGTGCTCCTGGTGCATGTGGGATCAGTGTGGAGGTGGTGTTTATTCCCTTTTACACCCATTTTCACACGGTTCCCATTTCTTTCTATTTCTAAAAAGTAACGCAGCATGGCCAAAATCTGCTAGAGCCCACCAATCACAGTTTATCGTTGTACGGTGTGAATGCACAGTCTTCATAACATCCAAATCTTGTATATGTAATGAACGTGACGTTTCTTTAAGGTTCTAATATTTATTTATTTTGAAACTGTTTCATTTGCAAGAGTAAAATTTTCCTGGTAACCATAGCAGCAGCGACTGACGAGTTACTATGTCTAATCAGCAGTATGCAGAAGCCTATTTTACCAGGGGAAGGGTATATTGTATGCTCACCACGCATCATAATAATGATAATGGGTTAAACCACCCTTTTTACACTTTTACGGTTCCAGCACCGATATTCGCAACGTCAGCCAATGGAGGGGAACCTAATACACATGCAGAGTGAGTACTGTGCGCGCATTACAAATTCCCCATAGAAAAGCATTGCCTCACACTGGACACTGGACATCATCATGCATAGTGTGAGGACGTCCAGCAACATTTTACTGAGTCAAACTCCATGAAACCGTAGGAAGCACCTCTAGTGGCTGTCTAGAAGAAGAAGAAAGGGGAGACAAAAGTAAAAAGTAGGAGGGGAGGGGAAAAGGAAGTAAAACATGGCTCATGAATGCTGTGATGTTTGTTAAACTATGAAGTGAGAAACTGTTATTGGAAAAAAAATGTTTTTTGTTTTTCTTTCCTTCCTATGAGTAAATACCCTCAGTTTTACAGGTATGTATCATATTGCCTTTGCTTGTAAAAAAAAAAAAAAATTAAAAACAGAATAGATGAAAAAAAGTACTTGACTTAGTAATATCATTATTTTTTTTTTCATTCTTCCTAAAATATTTGATAATTGCATACAGTAGTTTTACTATTACATAATGAAAGTATACATTGTTGCACAAAGCAAAATTATATAACTGGTAATGCAGGTCAAAAGATTATATTCCAAGAATTCTTGCAAGGCAGAAAAATAAAAATTTCTGCCTATTTTATTTCAAAAGTTTTCACATACCACTACTTGTATGTCTAAAAACATGTTATGTCATCATCTATCTCTAGCCTTTATGGAAGAATATATTTGGCCTTTCTAACTAAAATATTCATGATCACATCAACAATTCAAATTACATCCCAACTAGAATCTTAGATTCTGGCAGAAATGTCTAAACATCGGTAGATTTTTAAAAATATTTTACTGCACTGCGGAATTTGTTGGCGCTTTAAAAATAATAATAATAATAATAATAATGGGACATTCTGTAACTCTGACTTAGTGGTACACTACTGTTACATCAAACTGTGAAAGGACAAAATATATATGTTTTTATTTCTGTTTATATGAGCTAGATATTGCACTTATCAAGCCACTGAATTGAATAGTCTCAGACTGGGAAGATGCATTGTGTGCATGCTTCTAGAACTCAAACTGTCTGTCTACCAGTGGGAACCTGCCCTTCACCCAATACCACCTGTGTTTATTTCATCTGTCCTCTGACACAGTGACAGATTTCATTGTTATTGTCATATCGGATTTCTCCAGCATAGAGGCTGTGGAAGGGATTTAGTAATCATGCGATGACATCGCTATGCATTTTTGACCTCACACTGTGTGTCTTATTTCTTATCATTGCTCCTTGCCATACAGTGCTCCATGTACATGAGAGTATATTTATATCTATTTATTTCTAAAATATTTTACCAGGAAGAATTCATTGATATTTTGCCCCTTTTCAAGTTTGCCCATGGTTTTATATGTAATTGTTCCATTAATCCAAGGCAGAATGAAATAAATATCTGTACATACATAGCTTTTTTTAAATAATATTAAAGAATATCAAATACAAACTTATAATTGTGGATATAATAATCTGACTGCCATGCCAAACAGTCGCACTATGCCTGAGCTAATTGAGAAACTTTGAATTTTACTAAAATAACAGACTTTCAGGCCAATATTTACAACCACGAAGATATAATTTCTTCCATACTACAAGTGGGAACTTAATTGTCCTCTTACCTGACAAGCTAAGGTGGAAAGTCTTGTGACCTACTTTTGGCTTTCCTGATGGCGGGGAAGCAGGAAAGCGGCTGATCTCTCTGTTTCTCGCCTACCAGGAAGCGGCATTGCAGTTGTTGAGGCCATAATCACCCCCCTCCTCTCCACCCCTGTACTCAGCACTTGCCAGTAGGTCCAGTGTAAGCACAATTCAGAGCACAGCTGGGAGATTGGCATTACCTCAAAATGGCGGCTTTTGTGTGCCAACCGAGCCTGCAACTGTCTAACATGTCTTGGATAGACAGAAGCTTTGAAGCGCTCTGAGTGAACCTGGCCAGCACAATGCAAAGTCTTTCACAAAACAGTCAGCTGCTGACCTACCTCAGCAATCTCATCTCGAGCAAGCATCCAGTGAGGGCACCGAGCCACAGGCCTTTGCAACTAGCCGATGCTGATCCCCTCCCCTCCCACCATCCACTCCCCAACCCCAGTTTCACTAGGAGAACATCGGAGCCTCAATATAAGCCGCGAAAGCAGAGAAGCACACCACAGTGGAGAGCAATGCAAGAATGATATAACGCAGCATTCACACTGAGGGCCATGTTCAACTGGGACCATGACATGGAGAAAAGTCTGAAGATCTGAAGGATCGAGGGCCGGAATACATTAGGCCAAAGTCTGCTATATGGGACTGTGCTTTGCCTACTGAGGGAGTTGGTTGACCATATCTTGGGGCTTGGAACACTATTCCAGGGTGCAAAGCACCAATCTTAGGAACTGCTTCCTTTCCACCACCTCCCACTGGTGTACATACCGTGATAGCAGGGGTCGCAGCTGCGACCGGACCTGTCACTCCAGGGGACTTGGCCGCCCTGAGGACCCCTGCGACCGGGTACCCACCTCCATCTTTTGCGTCCCCGGCCCATGCGGCAAACCGCCAGGGTCGACGTCCAAGTGGTCGATCGTGTGGCCCATGCTGTCAGGGCCACCCGATGGATATGGATTGTCAGGGGGCCCGGTCAGTCTTGTGTGTGTGTGTGTGTGTGTCTGTCTATATGTATTTGTCTGTGTGTCTGTATGTGTGTGTGTGTGTGTCTGTATGTATGTGTCTGTCTGTGTGCCTGTATGTGTGTGTGTGTCTGTCTGTATGTATCTGTCTGTGTGCCTGTCTGTTTGTATGTATGTGTCTGTGTGTGTGCCCGTTTGTGCCTGTGTGTGTGTTGGTCTGTATGTATGTGTCTGGCTGTGTGTCTGTATGTATACATGTGTGCCTAACTGTTTGTATGTATGTCTGTCTGTATGTGTGTGTCTGTCTGTCTGTATGTGTATGTGTGCCTGTCTGTTTGTATGTATGTATGTATGTGTCTTTGTATGTATGTGTGTCTTGTGTGTGTGTATGTGTCTGTATGGGTGTGTGTGTCTGTATTTGTCTGTGTGTATGTATGTGTCTGTGTGTGTCTGTCTGTGTGCCTGTATGTGTGTGTGTGTGTGTGTGTGTGTGTGTGTCTGTATGCCTGTCTGTTTGCATGTATGTGTCTGTGTGTATTCCTGTTTGTGTCTGTGTGTGTGTTGGTCTGTATGTATGTGTCTGGCTGTGTGTCTGTCTGTATGTATACATGTGTGCCTGTCTGTCTGTTTGTATGTATGTATGTGCCTTTCTATGTATGTATGTGTGTCTTGTGTCTGTCTCTATGTCTGTGTGTGTGTCTATCTTTATGTCTGTGTGTGTCTGCCTGTATGTATGTGTGTGTGTGTGCTTGTCTGTTTGTGTGTATGTGCCTTTGTATGTATGTATGTATGTATGTGTGTGTGTCTTGTGTGTGTGTGTGTGTGTTTGTGTGTTTGTCTGTATGTATGTGTATGTATGTATGTGTCTGTATGTGTGCCTGTCTGTATGTATGGATGCCTGTCTGTATGTGTGTGTCTGTCTGTCTGTATGTGTATGTGTACCTGTCTGTTTGTATGTATGTATGTATGTATGTATGTGTCTTTGTATGTATGTATGTATGTATGTGTGTCTTGTGTGTGTGTCTGTCTGTCTGTATGTATTTGTCTGTGTGTCTGTGTGTGTGTGTGTGTGTGTGTGTGTCTGTATGTATGTGTCTGTCTGTGTGCCTGTATGTGTGTGTGTGTCTCTCTGTATGTGTCTGTCTGTGTGCCTGTCTGTTTGTATGTATGTGTCTGTGTGTGTGCCTGTTTGTGTCTGTGTGTGTGTTGGTCTGTATGCATGTGTCTGGCTGTGTGTCTGTCTGTATGTATATATGTGTGCCTGTCTGTTTGTATGTATGTATGTATGTGCCTTTGTATGTATGTGTGTCTTGAGTGTGTGTGTGTGTCTGCCTGTCTGTATGTATGTGTATGTGTCTGTATGTGTGCCTGTCTGTATCTATGTATGCCTGTCTGTATGTGTGTGTGTGTGTGTCTGTCTGTGTGTGTATGTGTGCCTGTCTGTTTGTATGTATGTAAGTGTCTTTGTATGTATGTGTGTCTTGTGTGTGTGTGTGTGTGTGTGTGTCTGTCTGTATGTATGTATTTGTCTGTGTGTCTGTATGTGTGTGTGTGTTTGTATGTATGTGTCTGTCTGTGTGCCTGTATGTGTGTGTGTGTGTGCGTGTCTGTCTGTATGTGTCTGTCGGTGTG